ATTTTTAATTCTGTGAAAATTTATTATTATGCTCATTTAAATAAATTCATATAAATTCAATGCTTGGAAATTTTATTGTGCACTTATTAATGCAGGTTTCACAAATAAGACTTGTAGCTTTCATTATTTTAAAGCAAATCATGTTTGGCCATTAGATCATGAATTAAAGACATACAAAAATTATCCAAGTGAACAATAAATTGTTAAAGTTGGGCTTTCCTTTTGTAGAGTAAGTTCTGCACCAAAAGCAATAAAGATAATGGTTGAATATCTGTAAAGCAAATTCATCAAATAAGGATGCTGTATTAATGCACTAATGATACTATAATTAGTTAATCAAATGAAAATTTAAAAATTAAAATAAATTTCTATTAATTTATTCCATTTATTTTTTTTTACATTTTATAATTCTAATTGATATTATATGACATTCTGAATATTTGAATTGTTTTATTCTTTATTTAAAGCGTTGTTGTTATATTATCTAAAATTTAATTTCTAATATTGATTTTACCCTACTTTATTATTACTCATTCCGTTTTTTAAAATATCATAACTAATTATATTTTCTATATAAATTGTATTATTTTTATTCAATTCTCTCCTAAATTGAATATCAATTGTCACCCATATTGTTAATTGAAGTTAAACAATTTTGCTAAAATTTTTTAATATAACTTCTCTATTAAAAACTGAATCTCAAATGTTAAGATAGGTCAATCTCTTAAATATTTTTAAAAGCAAAAAAGGAAGTATTATAAAAATATCCAAAAAGTGATTATTAATCACATTAAATAAAGTATTTAATGGTTATCTACTTCTAATAAATATGATTTTTCTTCCACTTATTCTATTATGTTGATTAATTCAAATTATTTAAATTCATACCTTATTTTTAATTTAAATAATTGATTTAATCTTAATTTTCAATGCATCTAAATCACTTTCTTATAATTCAATTTCTTTTGTTCCATCAAACTTTAATTTAAAAAAAAAATATTATACATAAAACTATTTGCTATTTTATCTTTGTATAATGATTAATAAATAATACTGATAGATGAAGTAAGCTTGTAAACTTTTTTTAATTTATTAAATAGAGCAAATAATCATCATTAGGAAAATCACAAAAATTTGCTTAAGTGTAATTTGGATTATTGATATAATCAAGGAAAGTTATTGGTTTGAATTCTGGAAATATTGATTCTTTATTAAAAGTTAATCCTTATCAAAATATATCAAGTGGAGTAATTTGTACATATTGTAAACTCAGTTCATACATTTCCATCTCACTTACACAAAAATATTTAGTGAATACATAAAAATTTGTCTTTTCTAATAAAAACTTATATTGAGAAATTAGATAAAATTTTGGCTCCATTCATAATCTGAGATGATAATATAAATGTTACGTATTTATTTTGATATTGTTAATAAATACTCTTTACTAATTTTATCATTATATGAAAGTACTTCTATTATTTTTAAATCTACATTAAAATTATTAGAAAAATCATAAAAATGATAAATAAATTATAATCAGAAACATCCACCAGATTTAGAACTATTTTATATTTAAGTTTACTTAAAAGGCTATCCAATCCTAACTCCTGGTAGCTCATGCTTTTGTTAACTTTTCTCTACAACTCTCAAAGCTTGTCTTGCTGCTACTTAGAATGTCTAAAAAATAAGTTAAAATTACTTCAATAATGTTTAAATTATTCTTTGCACTTGTTTCAATGAATAATAGATTATTTTCATTTGCAAATTACTATCCATCTGATAAAGAAACTTGTCGCCTTTTATACTATAAATAATATACTATTTTTCTAAATCTACTTTATTACCAACTAACAATATCGTTATATCCTATCTGCCATATTCTTAACACTCTTTGATCCAGTATTGAACATTTTAAAAAGATTCTCTATCTGTGATATCATAAACTAAAATTGCACCAGCAGCACTTCTATAATATGGTCGGGTAATTTATTGGAATGATTTCAGACCATTAGTATCAAGAATTTATAATTTGATCATTTTATCATCTATTTCCAACATTTTCACATTAAAGTCTATTCCTAATGTATGAAATCCGCACATTTTCTAATCTAAAAATTATGATATAATGCAAGATTTTCCAACAACTTCATATTATGATATTGCTATTACAATCATCTCCTATTAAGATAAGCCTTAAACAATAATGAAACATAAATTATATTTAAATGAATGAAAAAAATCTTTGTATTTCTATTATATAAAATTGCCATAATTCTATTACCAAAAAATCACCATAATTCCTTATAAATTATTATTTATTACCAAAAATTCGCATCAATCTCTAAGATAATTATCACTTAACATCAAATTCAATAAATCACAAGAAGTTTAAAGTTTTATTTATTATTGCCAAAACAAAAATTTATTTCCTTAAAAAACTACATTATTATTGTTAAATAAAATTTTCAATTTTTTTCTTTAAATCTAATTAAAAATCTTAACAATCATAATTTGTAATAAATTCAATCTCACAACTTAGTATACTAATTTAAACTTGAACATTATTTATCTTTCAAATCTAAATATAATTTATTGTTTAGCGAATTTCTAATTATTCTAATTCTTATCATTTTAATGTTATTTTGCAATTGCTATTGCTTTAATAAATAAAATAAAGCGTATAAAAAAATCAAGTATATTTTAAAGTTTATCCCATTTGTATAATATATTTTGGAACATATATAATGTACAAATTTAATAAATAATTCTTAATAATTAAATAGAAATGTCAAATTTAAGTTTAAATAATACTGCTACACATTTAAAAAAAATATTGTAAATAAACATATGTGAAAAAAAAATAGGGAGATAGAAAAATAAACTTGACACTTATAAAATAAAATTGATAATTTAACCTCTTTAATGTTTTTGATTTGAAATACTTCAATTCCTGTGATTAGTTAGATAAAATTATGCATATTTGAATTTAAGCAAATTAACAATAAGATAACCTATGTATGATATGATATTCATTAGATTCATAACAATCTCTTATATTACAAACAAAAATTATTCCAGTGATTTATAGAGAGGAGAATTTTCTAATTCTTACTGAGATCATAATTTCAACCATTTTAAAGTCAGGATAATAATAATTTTTAATTTTACAATAGTTAGCACTCATGAAAACTTTAGTATTGAGGATTGATACAAACACTTTTCCTTTTTAATTTTGAATTTTATAAAATGAATTAAATCTTTATATATGTCAAACCCAAACCTAAATTGTTAATCATAAGATTTTGCATACTTAAATGTTAAGAAGAATTTATTGAATAATTAATTATCTTTTCCAGACCCCTATCTTAATAGAGTAAATTTGAGTGTTTTCTTTTCAACTCATCTTTTGAGTGAACAGCACTTTTGTTATCTTAAATGGAAAAGAAGTAAGGAATTAGAAATCTTGTATGCAATATATTTGCTCCTATGTTTATTTTCTTGGTAATTAGAGCAGAAGCACTGCCTAAAGTTATGTTAAATAGATTGGATGAATGGAGTCACTAAATGTCAAGTGGGCTTGATAAGGTTTAAAAGAAAAAAGAAGTATCTTGAAAAGATCGATGCCATTTGCACAATAATATCGTTCTATACTAGAGCTCTCTTCTTATGAAAAAGTATCTGCTACTCATTGAAAGACGTTTCAGAAGCTGATGAATAAAGAGAGATGCTTAGAAATGATAATATGAGCTAATGAAAGATTCATACATATATCTTAAGCTAAAATTAATAAAGCCAAAATGTTTGTTACTGCTAGAGACATTAGCAAATGGAAGGTGTTACAATATTAAAGAGCTATTTAAAATTAAGGAGGCATTTAATCCAGTACATCATTCAGATTTTTAGAGTTCTCATTAGAGAGAAAATAATCCTCCATATAAATGGTTTACAATAGAGGAAACAAAAATATTATTAAATGATAAATATAATAATAACTGTTTTAAAGGCACTGCCAGATGAAGATATAAACTAAATATACTCCTACTCATGTCTTTAAATATTAAAATTTATAACACGTAGAATTTAAGCATAATAGACTGGAAGATTAACTTACGTACAGTAAACAATCATGAGAAACATACTTTTAATAGATAACATAAATGAGAACTCAAATGAATCAGAATTAAGGTCAGATTTAATAAATAATTATATGTACATTAGGCAAAGAATTCCCATTAAAGGAGTTAGTGGCTGATCATAGGACAAAGTAGAATAAATAATAATTTTAAACGATACATTAGAGCAGTAGATTTGATTAGAAATAAGAGTAGAAGATACAGATAAATTAATCAACTAAGAGCTAATTAGAAAATGATAGGAAAAAAGTTTAAAGGAATGATTGAGAAAGAATAATGTCTTGAAGATAATTTGAGCTAAATATTTTCTCACTCAAGAGAGTTAATCTATTAAAAATAAAATCTGGAAAAATAAGTAAAGCTATCTGAGAGAAACTTAAATTCTCATTTTTTTAACAGTAAATAGAGTTAGAAAAATCAAGATGACTGACCCTCTTTTCTTTGCTCACGTGCAGGATCAAACTGATTCACTTAGTCTCAATCTTATAAATCATATTTAACTATGATAATAATTTTCAGAAGAGATAAGAGGAAGGGATTTCAGAACAGAAAAGAAGTGAAATAAAAATATCACCATATTAGAAAAATCATTAAAAGTTGATTTTTCATCTATTCTAAATTATAAAACTGTTAATTTCAAATCTCAATACTAGGCTCTAAATTTCAACCATTTTAAAGTTAGAAAAAGAGCTGTTGAATTTTGAAGATTTAAAATAATTATAATTTTATACAGATTATAATTATTATGTTATGCCAATAGCTTGAATAGTTTGATACTTCTCTTCAAAATGGAAGAGAGTGAAAAAACTTAGAGCATGCGAGAAAGGATTAGAGCATCAAATTCAAGATGAATTCATATGATTTAAATGATTTTATGTTGATGTTCTGATTCTTGAATCATTTTATTATGGATGTTTTAGTATTTCAAATGATTAGTACTTAAGAGAGAAAGTTGACATGGATAAAATACTGGGTATATCTTTGAAATCTAATTTAACAATAGACTTAAATGAGTTATGTTTCAAGAAGAATTTAGTCGGTCAAACAAAAAATTAGATTAAATATAATTTTAGTTAAGCTATTCCAAATCCATCAAATTTATCTTATGTAATAGTAAAATCATTAAATATAAATGATGTAAAGTCTGATCATAGTTGAGGTTTATTATTTTATGGATTAATTGCAAATATAACATCAAGATATTATTCATAAGCAGTAGGATCTTTAAGAAAATGCAATGCCTCTTCTATATACATTGCCCTTTATAAAGAATGATAGATTATTCAATATTTATTTTGTTATTAATTAATAAGAAAAAGATTTATTTTTATTGGGTGGATTTAATTATATGACTTTTGAATTAATTATATTTTTTATTCAATCTGTTCTGTAAAATTAAATGATGGCTTTAATTTAATAAATATGTTAAGATTTATTAATTATTGTATAGAGAATTTTATTCCATCAAAAACTAAAGTTAACTTCTTACAGCTTATAATAAATCATTGAAATTTCAATTAAAAAAACTTGAGCAGCAAAGACTGTCAAAAAATAATATAATTAAACCTGGATTTCATTATTAAAGAGAACAAACTTAATGTCCAATTTCTTTTGAAAGTACTCATGATCAAAATTTCTAAAGTAAAAAAAGAATTCTAACTAAAAAGGTTCTAGTTAAATATTATTATCAATCAATTTAGGACACTAAACAATAAAGATATTTATGTTGAGTACAAGTGATTATTGGAAAGAATCTAAAAAATATGTGAATGATAGCAAGAAATACCTTTTATTACTTAGAACTTAATACCATGATCGTTTTCAGAAGGTATTTTAGAAAGTAAGCAAGAGAATACTTAAAAATTCTCTACTGCTACAATTTATTATCTGCCTGTAAAGTTATTATGATAAGGAATAACGGAATTTATAACTTCTATTTTAAAAATTAAACTTCTGGTTTGAATGCAAAATATAATGAATTTTATGATGCTAATCAAAATGTTAATAATTAAATAAAGAATTATAATAAATTATATGCACAAAAATTAAGATTATTTAAAAGTTTATATAAGTAAAGTGACTTCTTTCTTGGTTAAAATTTAAAATATCCATTAAAATTGATAAATTCAAACAAATTAGCATTTTATATAAGTCAATTTCTGTTTGCTGGGAATGTTGATTTTTGGAGTTATTCTAAGTCCACCCATTTTAATTATGGAGTCTTCTCTACTTCTTTCTTTCTTTAATATCTTTTCTTATTTATCAACTATTGTGTATCTTCATTTTAATTATTTACTTCTTGCTTTCTTCTGATAGTTCAATTATTAATAGAATAACAAGGTAATTCTTCATTTGTTTTATTTCCATTTAAATATTAAATCATGAAATTAAATTTCATTTGGAAATGAATTTAAGGATTGATTCTTAATTATTAATTTCCTCTTTCATTTTCTTTGTTCAAGATAAATGACACTAATCCAACTTTTGTTTAAGAGAATTTTATTTGAGCAAAATTTTATTATCTTTGAATAATTTTAAACATTTTGAATTAATGCTGTTGATTTCATTTATATAATAACATTTTAATAAACTTTTTATAACAGTTCTGAATTTATCAAGATAATTAGATTAATCATTTTTTGATAATGGTTCTGTATTATTATAATAAGGAAATTGATTATCTAATTCTCTCTATCTTCTCTTACAAAAGGAAATAGAATTAAATCATCAAATATTTAAAAGCCTTTGAATTTTTCTATTAATTACATAAATATACATACTTTTAAAAAAATTTTAAATATATTTTTATTAACTATTTTTTTCAGGATACAAATATCTGCTATTTATAGAATATTTTTTAAATAGACATATTTACCTTAAAATGTTACCTTAATTCATCATGGAAGTATGCTAAATTAGTATTTGTGTTAAATATCCATTATCTTTGGCATTAATTATGAAATCATTTTTTTAATAATAGAAAATAACATAATGCAATAATATTAGGAGAAATGTAGAATAAAAATTGATTTATTAGTAATAATAAAATATTTTAATTTATCATTAACAAATTTTATAATAAAAAATTAATAACATCAGACATTAAAATCTTAAGAGGATTTATTTATAAGATACATGATATGCTAATAATTATTAATACAGACAGTAATATTTGTAATGAATATAATAACAATATGAATATAAGTATAATTATAGCCACGTAATGATATAAGCTGTAACAGTATAATAGATTTTTTGCATATTTAAGTTTAACTGAGAAATTAGAAATAAATTAATAGTTTATTTTTATATAGTATAAAATATAATATATGAAATAATAAATCATTCTACAATAACAATAAGAAATAAATAAGTAAATGGAAGTATTTTATTCAAAATAATTTAGGAATTTGAATAGATAAATAAATCAAGCAATTTATAAATAGCTTATTGCAAATTTAAATATATTTAATAAGATTAAGTTAATTAAAAATGAAATTATGAGTTGGATACAATCAATAAGCTTTTCAGATATTAAAATAGAAATCAAGAATTTATTGAATTAATTCAGTACTTAGGAAATCTTTATTTCAATTAATCAACTTAATTTATCACCTATTAGTAGATCATTAAAAAAAATCTTACAATTAAAATTTTGTTTGTAATATACTATCCAAGATTATTCAAAATTTAAAAATTGGTTATAATATAAATCAATTATTTTATGGGAATATTGGTCAAATATATTGAAACTAAACCAAAATGTGATTCAATATTTCCTTTAAACCTACTTTATATAATTT